TCTTAGTGCGTGTTCAACACTCTTTTTTTATCATTGCAACAGACCTTACTCAAGATATCTACTTTAAGGATTAACAAAACAATATCACGTGATCTCTCAAGGACGAACCATTTTGCAATTTTATGCTGAGCGACCTAGCCTTTTGGTGGAAGCGAGGCTGGCGGTGACCTTTTGATAAGTAATGAAGAAAGTTTACCAGGAGCCTCGCCTCCACTAAGGCCAAGATTCTCAGTAAACATTGGACATAACATATGCCAGTGAAAACTGCTTGTGAAAACAATCGATTACGAGTCACTGTTTACTTCTTCCGTACTAAACAGTTTTAGTCGATTGAGTTTCGTTATGTTTCTGATAGCCAGAATTTCTTATTTGCGTGACCAGCTTAGTTTGCTTCGTCATTACTAGGTCTTCATTTTTTATTGTCTAGAATTAGCAAACTCGACCTCGAAAGCTCAACATTGGTGACTTTTTCTGCTGTTTGCCCCCGGAAGACCAAGTGACATTGCTTTATCCCAGCAAACCTCGCTCGCTAACAAAGTTAGCAGGCATCGTAAAACAAATGGTATCCTGGGTGCCAGAGGCTTTTCATGCGCGGTTTCCGGTTTCGGTCAAGTCTTAAAAAGTGACCCGCGCGGCTTCCCCGCTCGTGTCTTTGGCCTGCGGTCGACGAAACGAAGCTCCCCGACGCACGCGAGAAAATACCTCTGGTACCCAGGGTAAACAAATGGTTAACCTCTATTGCATGTTGGCTTCTTATTGCCGACAACCGTCGTATATAGTATTTATCCTGAACTTTATGCTAGCAGTTCATCCAAAGCCACGGTGACTAATAAAATCGCTAGAGGAGAACCATCTCAGTACGTTATGACCAAAATTTTATTTTTTCCCATAATCTTATCGCGGATAGACCTACCAGCATTGACCAGTTTTGAGCCAGCTCTTAGACGACTGGTTGATGACCATGGCTTATAAAGCTCAATCTAGTGCACGTTATGAATTGTCTGTTGGGTGTTGGTTTTTCAGCGACGTTTTTTGCTGTTTGAAACAAACATTTATTACTAAAATTATGATATAACTCCGTTGCGTATGTAGAGAGGAAGGACAGTGAGTGGGATTGAGCTAGAAGGCTAGTTCACCAACAATGTTAGTTCAAAATTAGTTCATGTTTTTGCAAGACGTTATGATTTACATAATGATTTTGTTCTTAAGTCTAGCTACTCTTATGTTTCCCTGTAGTAAAAAAAACAGTCCAGTACTCACCGATAACTTAATAGCGAAAATAATACCAAGAGAAGTTATGTCATTTGCTATTTTACTCGTATATATGTTCAAAAGAAGAAGTCATCTCGCCGAGACAGAGTTAATAGGTTTCTGATCGAAGACAGTTCCAATCAGGCTATATTTTGAATTTTTAAACAAAATATCAAAGTGACACTTGTGCAGGGTTTGCAAAAATCCTAGCAAAAACTTCTTTCACTTGCTCAGAACTCCGCGAAAGACTTCCAAGAAATTAAAACTGGAATTTATTTGATGTTAACTTACCGGGCCCGGAAGTTACGGGCTTTCAATTGTTAGTCCTAAAAGAGCCTGGAATCAAATGTAAAAAATAGATCAAATTTTATTTTGTAAAATACTTTTAACCAAAAAGAGCTTTATGAGAGTACTACCGAAGATGGTTTATTCAAATAGTCAGGTATTAGGATTTTAGGTTCACAAATTCAAAAAAGTAAGAGTGACACATTTTGCTTCTATAATTGTTTAGGGAGTGAAGACCATCCAGAGACAGTTTAGCTGTGCTCAATGATCAGTGAAAAGGTTTAAATAGTACACTGCGTATATATTCACATACATCATGCTACCACCTAGCTTTACTAGGCAAAGATTTTGTTTTGATTTGAAATGGCCAATTTCTCTCTTCGCTTTAGTTATTAATAGTTTGCTTCTTAGCGTGCGTGAAAGGCATCGAAAGGGCTGGGGTGGGGAGGGTAGGGGTGGAGGGAAAAAAGGTTGGGGCGTTTTTCTCCCCTTCCCCTCTCTTTGCGCCTATCATACATGCTCTAAGCTTATAGATTCTTCTAACCTCGCTTCTCTTGTGAATATTATGTACAATACGTCTGCTAGCTGATGATATTTGAATGAACGTAATTTCAGTCAATAAAAGTTTATAATTTCGTATTTGGTCTTCTCTGTCGACCACGATACCACGGAAGCGGAGGATAGAAAGGAAGGATCTTTTACGGCAGGGGTGGGGAATTTTCGAGAGGCATGAATTATTTTTCGTTTAACATTTCCTTCATTTCTTTAGCTAATTTTCCTTCCATGAATATTTTAAATCAATTTTGGTTTCTGGGAAACTCACCTACCCCTCCCCTAAACTAACATCAATACTTACTTCTCACTTAGGGCAGAATGATGGCTTAGGGGAGGGGTAGGTGGGCAGTTTCCCAGAAACCTATACTGATCCAATATTTTTTTGTACTTCACACTCCCTTCCCTGCTAGCAGAGGACTCTTTTTCCCTGGTATTCGGCGGGAAAAGAAGCCTCCGCTATCGGGGAACACACGCCCCCGCCCCACCCCCCATAACTTTCTCAATGGATTGTCCCTTACATCAACTTTTAATATTACCCGCTTAAATTAAAGAAAGGCATGTTTTTTACCCGGGGGGGGTACTTAGGTTAGTTTTTGCTGGCCTCTCAGAGCCCCTATCCCATTATAGTCTATTCTGTGGCCAATTTTAGACCCCATCTTAGTCAATTTTAGGCAAATGTCATTTTCGCGATCCCAACTTAGTCACTCTCTATTTATGTATCTATCTTATCTTATTAATCCTTTAAATAGGTCATCCTAAAATGAATTGACCCATACAGTTTTAAATTAAATGGAGAACACTTTACTTTTCACCTACAGTACAAACATCCTGGTACGTTTGCTAACCGTAAATATGAAATCTTTTCATACCCCCAAAATCCGAAAATATGCAACCCCATTGTAGTAACTCTATTGAAAATGCAACCCCATTATAGTCAATGCAGTCGTGAAAATGCGACCCCATCCAGCGGCACATCCCCATTAGCCCCTTTTATGGAAGTACCCCCCCCCCCCCCCCCCCCCCCCCCCCCCCNAACGTCCCGTTCATATGGAGAAAACCCGTCTCGAGTAGAGGGGTCACACTCCCAGCCGAGTAAACTTTAGCGACCTTTTGTATGGGAAAAGATTTGACTCCTTTGCCCGAGCAAACAGCGCTCGCACATGCTCTGATTGTTTGGCCTTGACCTAGCTGACCCGGCTGGGCGAGCCAGTGTTTATATGGAAAAACGTTGACTCTTATAGTACGCCGGTGACCTAACCATCACAAAAGGGTGACCGATTTAGCTGAGCCATTTTTTTGTTTTTCATCTAAACGGTTCGCCACATTTTGTAAGGAAATGTAGACAAAGTTGTATCGCCCAGGGTAGCTCAGGTAGATGGGTGATCCTTCTACCCCGAACAAATTTTCTCCAGGTAAACGGGGATTCAGTCTACAAGTGAACTTCAACCTACACTTAGCATATCGCGCCGTAAAGCATGAGAAGTTTACCTCCTAAATAGGGGCAAAACTCTTTCACCAGATGGTTTAAACCACCAGGAAGAACGTTGAACTGTACCTTATCAATCACTTTATTGTATAATTATTTACTCATCTATCATGTTATCTAATGTTTTTAGTTTGTCATTAACCAAACATGTAAATTTGAATTCAAATTTTAGGAGCCGTTCAGAGTATTCTCTTTCAGTGTAGCTCTAGCCCTTAGGAAGGCTAATTTTGTCATCCGAAATATTGGCCTCAAATAAATTAGCCCTTTGCCGTATTACCAGCCTTGCATACAGTTTTGTTTTATTCCCACTTCAAATGACGTCTAAACCGAAAAGAAAAAGAAAATTTGATAATCTATCTATCCGAGAAAGTTGGGTAATCACGTGACCGTACGCCTGTCCACCCCTCCGTCCGCAACACAGGAAAACCAATGTGGACTGTCAAATTTTCTAGCTAGTGTGGGAGCCTGTAACCTGTGTTTAACCTGACGATAGACTCCATATTGTGGTCAATTGACAGGTGTCAAAACAGGGTACCCGCTGACCTTACCGCGGTCTCATGGGCCAACTCATCGTGGTCACGTGTTATTCGAAGTTTTCCGCTAACCAGTTGTTAGCTTTTAATTGATCGCGGGCTCAAGTTTATGTTTTTTTAACATATGGTTTTGCCGTAAAGTTCAGTATAGTTTTGTGGTCTTTTCAATAGTTTAAAGTCCATTGTCTGCAGTAAATTTAAAATATATTAACGGGAGCTTGGCTTTTAGCACTGGCTAGTTTTAAAGATAATTCTCAAGAGCAATTTGGGAGTTGTAATTTAACCTTTAAGCTAATTATCAAGAGCAACAGATGATTGTATTTGGAGAATCCATTTTGATTTAATGGCTATTTTCATTTTTTTCTTTGATTCTTCTTATTGTTGTTATTCTACACCATATAGATGCACAACGTATCTGAATTCTTACTGCAAACAGTCACTTGTCGGTTGAAAAAGGTATTCAGATGGGAGCCTATTTAGGCTCCTGATACAAACAACTTTCTGCCTACCGGAAGAGAACAAATATCGCATATTATCATTCGAAGCCAATTTTTCTTTCTTTTCATTGGCCGAGAGCCCACCACGTGACCTGCAAATAACGGCCTACAAATGATGGTCTGCTCATGCGCAATGCCGTCCAACTGTGTTTGGCTACAAATAATATTCTGCACATGCGTAAAGGAAACCGTGCTTTTCTCCTTCTTACGATCGCTCTTGCGTGAAAATGACAGATCGCTTCGCTTCCCGAGGATATTCATTAAAAAAACAAAACAAACTCGGTGATCGAATGATAAAACAATTATTGAACTCGGTTATCGCAAAATATCGTGAAAAATCAAATCACGATATACAAATCACGATATTTTGCTCAACCTTGTCCAATAATTGCC